ATTTAGAGAATAGAGTGATTATTTTTAGAGAAAATTTGGTACAAGTGATCGTTGGGAAGAGTTAGTGATTTGTGTCTTGACATAAAAATATATGTATTTTCTCTAAAATTTATTTTATAATTCTTTTTTCACTGTTTTACTTATATCAGCAATATGTAATTTTTAAAAAGTTATAAATATAAAAAAGATAAATTTTTTCTATTTTTTGTATTTTTTTCACACTTTTGTTTTCAAAATAGATAGAGGCATTGTAGTCTTATATAAAAAATAGCCAGAGAAAAGAGGGTACACTATAGCCCAAACAAGTGGTAGTAAGAGAAGATGTTCTTCATTATCATCATCAAGAGGTAATATACATTGGTTAAAAAAATTATATTTTAACTAAACAATGCCTCGTAATATATATATTACAAAGTATTGTTTAGTTAAAATATAATTTTTTTTAGCTTGTTATATATTGATATCAGGAAGCTTGTATTATAATTTTATATATTGTTAAGCCAGGCTATTTGTATATAAAAATATATAGAAAGAAAATGATTACTTCTAGTTTTACCCATTATCATTAGTAGCGATAGTAGTGAAAACAGTTCTAGTGGTGAAAGTATCAATATAAGCAGCAATAATGAATATTTAGAAGCACTTAGGGTATTTAGATATTTGGATATAAGTATCAGGTTCTGATAGAAATATTAAAAATATGAAAATTTTTCATATTTTTGATATTTTTATCAGGGTCTGATATTTATAGCTGATTTTTTTCTGTTTTTTTGGCTATTTCGTTTTATACATAAAATATCTGAATTATTATTATTATTATTATTATATTAGACTAATATCTTTTAGATTATTGATAGTCTAGATGAACAAAATAGACCAGACTCTGCAAAAAAATAGATCGAATTTGAAAAACGGTTTCTTTGAAGATTGTTTCCAAAAATTAAGGATGGTATTGTAAAATACCATATCGATAATAATCAAATACTTCACATTATCAAAGAAAGACATAGACATCAACATGAGAAGTATTTGGAAAAAAGTATGGTAAGATATAATCGTGCTAAAGAAAGGATGAGATGTAATATGTGGTTGTCACAGATATATTATTTATACTATTACATATATATATTATTTTCGGCATTTTATATTTTATTATTATTTATTATTATTAATAAATATCAGTATTTTAAATCTTCATTATTATTTATTATTATTATTAATTTATTTTATTTTATTATTTTTTATTATTATTATTTTTATTATTATTTTTATTGTTATTTTAGTAATTTTAATTTTTATATTTATTTATTTAAAAAATGAAAAAGCGAAAGAATAGCTTTACTCATATGTTGAAAACAAAAAGCTGCTCCTTATATGAGAACTTACTAAAGAAGTTCCAAAAAGATGAGCAATCACAGATTTAATAGATGTATTAAAAGATCAGCAATAACACTGCAATGAAGTATTCGAAACTGATAACAAAAAAGCCAATAGGGAGTGCTTCGCTAGTAACTATATCGGTGATAATCACAAAGATCGAGTTATTAAAGTTTTGGATAAAAGCTTGCCTCCCAGCAGGCAAAACTTAGATATATAGTAAAACCTCGCAATAGTCACATGCTAAAATCAGATATTCTATGTTTCTATTGTGAGATTGTGACTAAAGCAAGTAAGAATTTATATATAGTGTATATAGATAGATAAAAGAATCAAGGTGACTATAGCAGGATTGTGATAAATGCAGATGTGACTATTGCAGGGTTTTACTGTATAATTAATAATTATAATTTTCTGCTCAATAATAAAATTATTGGGCAGATTAATCTTATTAAGCTACAAGATAACTATTAGGATTATGCTTACAACTATTATCAAGAAAAATAAGGCTTTGGGCTTCTAATTTTATTATTTATTATTACCTGATAGACATACACATATTGTTTCTAATAAATATTTAAATGATAAAATAGAAAGCCTAAAGTCTTTTTTTTTCTTTGAAAATACTTATATAATAATAATAATATTATTATTATTATTATTTTATTTATTTTTTTTTTAGCAATCCTTCCTTTATTAATTAAATTGGCCGTAGCCATACTTCTGTAAAGGCTAATCTATCTAGTATACTACATTACACCTATACTAATAAAGAATCACTTGATCTATTAACAAGAACCTAAAATAAGTTCTGCAAGAAAGACACAAGTACGACCCGTCTAAGTGGTACTTCTTTACCTTGTCTAGAATTCCCAACTTACTGAGAATTTATACTCCAAGAGTTTACAGTAGATGCTTACCAACCTTGTCAAGATTACTGGCCTATATAACATATCACCAATCTGAAGAAAAATTCCTTAAAAAAAATCAAAGATCAAATAGGGTAAGTAAAATTACGAGAAGCGGGATAGTTTTAAAAGAAAACAAATAAGAAAATGACTAAACTAATAGAAGAAATCTAAAATACTAATTGTAAAACTAAAGAACATATCTAACAAATTGGTATCTGCCAGTCAGAATACTTGTCTACTTGATCATAGTAATTACATAGAACTCAGCTAACATAAAAAAAAAACTGCGCTAAATGCACTTTAACTTGTGCTAAGAGCTAAAAATTATATACACATGACTTTGTCGTCAGACTACATATCTCAAATTCTTTTTATCGCCTCACTTTAAATCTATATTCTATTCCAAAGTATAACAAATGTATCGACTCCATGTGCTCTCCTGATCTCATCTTGTCTAATTAGTATGTAAGTTCTTAAAAACCTTCTGAGTTCTCAATGTACCAGAGCTACATTTCCAAATAAGAAATAAATTACTTCCTATGTAGCCATGTGTTTGCTGTGTTCATATCACAGAGTCACCGAATATAAAAGTAGTAAACAATGCTAATCTTTTGATAGAGAGTAGCCAAATTCCCTACTTTTTGTCAAAATTTTGGTTTTGGAAGTGTCAAAGTGGCAAAAAGGAAAAAAACAAAGTTGTTGTGAGGTTTTTAACTGTAGTGAGTGCTTTGCAGACTGCTTCTCTTGTTTTTTTTTCTATTACTATCCAGTTTTCTTTAATAAATTGCTACTAGAATACTCTTCTGGCTTGGATACCGAACTTAGGGGGAGTCCGCCAGAAGAAAAGCTTAACCTAGGCTACAAACTGCTTCTCTAATACTCGCTACTCAATATATCATGTTAGAGTCTTCATCGATAGCAATGAAAGAAAAAACTTGAGTAGTTTTAGACGTTAGACTTCAAGTTTTTTAACTTAAGTTGAGTGATAATAGTTGGTCCAAGTGATTATTAGGGAGAGTTAATTATGAAAAAACTAATAACAATAATAATATTATGATTATTTTATTTTTTTAATAATAATAATAATAATATTATTATTATTATTATTATTTTTGATAATAATAATAATAATTTTTTTCAATTTACCTCCAGTTGAAAGAAATTTTGTAGTTAGCCGAAGAATTTTCGTTTATAAAAAAAAAAAACTCTAGATATCGCTAGAGAAATGCTCCAGGTTTAATAGATAGAACTTCATCACTACCTTCTGATTCATTGGCATGGCTCATATCCCAATCTACTAATATCGATACAGGCAGTTCTGATAGCAATAATGAAAACTCTGATGATCTTGCTGACTCTCCAGATAATGATAATCCTGACGATCCTGATGAAGAATACAAACCTATTGCTGGGTCTAGTAACTTCCTGAATAAAGCGTATCATATGTGGTCTCGCACAAAAAGAGTTTCTAGTTTATCTACAGATATAGCATTGTTTTTCATCTTCCCAATAGTCATTTCACTGACAAGCCATTACCTAACATTACATAGTGGTTAGGGTTAGCATTTTTGTTAACTATGAGTATATTTATTATTAGTAAATTATCACTTTGTAATGTCAGATAAATGGCCTGTCAATGTAATGACTATTAGAAAATTAGGTGTAATTAGGAAAGGCAATGGCTGGCTATTTTAGGCTTAGCCGACCGGCTAAGCCTAAAATAGCCAGCCATTGCTTTTCCTAGATGTAATCCAACTAAAGATCATATTAAATTATTAAATTTGAATTTGACAAAAAGCACTTGCCTAACCAACAATCTTTGAAATATTTAATAAAATTATTAAAAAAACTAATAAAGAAAAGCAAAAGGAAGTTAGTAAAGAAGGAGCCGAAGTTGATCAAGAAAAGCAAAAAAAAGTTGGCAAAGAAGGAGCCGAAGTTGATAAAAAAAAGCAAAAGGAAGTTGGTAAAGAAGAAGCTGCAATTGATAAAGAAAAACAGAAAGAAATTGTTGGTATGTATTGTAAAATAGTAATAGATACCAGCTATATAAAGTATTTTTATTTAGTGTTTGTATACTTTTTCTGGTTTAGAACCCTATAGAAATCTTTTTTTAATATTGGAAGGAGAAACTTCTAGAGTTTCTAGTCATCAAGAGTCTAATATCAGCACATCTGATGTTAACTATCAAGATTCTAATGTTGATGATACTGAAATTATAGAGACTCTTGCAAATACCAAAATCTTTCTATAATGTTTATTAGAACCAGAAGAACCAGAAGATCAGGAGGAAGAAAGTGAAAACAACTAAAAGTAAAACAAAAAAAAAAAAAAAACAAAAAAAAAGAAAAAAAAAAAAAGAAAAAAAGAACAAACGAAAGAAAGAAAGAAAGAAAAAAGAAAAACTTTTTTTTTTTCTTATTTTGATATCGGATTATTGAAACTTTTTTTTAATATATATTATTAAAGCGCAAATAATATAAGTATATAAGTATACTGTATACTGATATGTAAGCATATGAATATGTTTTATCATTTGCAAATGAAAACCATATATACTGTACCAAAAATCAGAATAATAAAAGAAAAAAAAAAAATTTTTATATATATTTTTATATCCCTATATCTTGCTATAATGCTATAAACGTTTATGTTGAATATTGGGATAATAAAAGAGTTAAAAAGTATATTGTTATGTATATTTTTATACACCTATATGTTGCTATAATGCTATGAACTTGCAAGTTGAATATCGGGATAATA